AAGAGTGGGGGAGTCTAGCAGTTCATAGCTATGGCCGGCAGCCATGGGAAAGTCTAATGAATAGGTTTTATGAGAGATTGATTAATATATTAAATGTAACATTACGTAACTAATCTTATGAGGAAATTAATCAATACATGACAAGTGTATTACATAAGAAACAGTATGGCTTTGATAATAAGATGAATGTGTCACTGTAATTCAGCCAGTCAGACAAATAGCATAGAGTTCATTAAGTGGATGGCAGTTGATGTAAAAACCTATAGTGTATGAGCATACAAATACCTTCACACCAATAGATTTGCTATAATTTATTTAAATTTCCTTCATCCTTGTTTTAGTGTCTAATAGCACAGTAAATTTAGTCCTAAAATTTTTGTTTAATTCCACTTGAAATATATAATGTATAAGCACCTGTTCATGCATTGCACAGCTGAATACTGAGCAATGACTAGAAAGACCAATAAACAGCACTCACTCGATTGGCTGGACATTACGTTACCATGATTTATGCCTTTATGAACTTTAAAGATGTCTGACTATACGGTTCAATGTAGAGTTTAAGTCTGGTACATTTTCTTAATTTTTCATTTTGACAGAAAACACTCAGCACTTTGTCAAGACCAGTGGCACTGAGGTGAACAAATAACTGCTGCCACATGTGAAGTCAACTTAAGTGGAGTTTTTAGGAGATATAACACCTTTAGCAACACACATACTAATACTTTAATGCTCAAGTAATACATGTATGTATTGTTTAATTATGCATGTTTATTTAACAAATCTCTTAGGCATCATCATAAAAAAAACTGGTATGGTACACATTTTCCAGTGGTCCTGTGATTGGAAAACAACCAGAGAAGGAAGAGAGTGTGGGGTGTCTTTAAACAGCCTGAGTATGTTCATGATGATGTTCCATTACAGCAGAGCACAACATGGCTGAAAAACCCATCAGAGCCGTAATGGATACGAGCTGATCACTTGTTTCCACTGGTTAAAAAAGGGAGGACTCCTGAAGTATTGTAGTCCCTCTCATGTTAGCCCCATGTTAGAATTCTGCTCTTAAATATTTAGTTTTACATTTATAGCTTTTTGATAAAGTAATGCTCTTCATGAGTGTTGGGTAATGATGTGACATGGTATGTATGTAATTTTCAACATTAAATCAGTTTCCGTTTCTTCAATAAGCATGTGGTCTTACACTAGTTCCATACAAAAACTTTTCAGAAATAGGCAAACTTTATCATTTTTATGAGAAAAAAAAGAAGAAACTTTTTTTTTTCAGTATCATTAATTATTCAAATAAGTATCTAGTTTCAGTATTAGATTTAGAATTATTAGTACCTGGTTATCACTTTTCGACAACACAAAGTCTATTGTTTTTGTGTATTGTAAAGTCTGTAGAGTCAATTTAACTTTAACTTAACTTAACTGATAAGATCTGGCTTTATTTGTTCACCATTTAATTTAAAAAGCTACATGCAGATACAATTTAACTTGTGATAGAATCCATTATATCTTCTTGTATTATAGATATATTATTATAGTACTTGTGTAAAGATAAGAAGGTTTGAGAAAGCTAACCTCTCTCTCACCTACTTGATTTTAGCTTGACACAATTTTATCTTTTGCATATTTGCTTAGGCCACAAATTCCTTTATTTTAGAATTCAAGCACTTTCAAACTGGGCCATATAGTATCAGTTACCAAATGCACTCAGGCCTCTAACAGCAGTGTGAATAAACTGCTGACGAGACATTAAGATACTCCAAGAAGTACCACAAATGTTTGGATCTCTGCAGACCTTTTTTCAGTTCTCCACTTGGGTTGAGAATTGGCAAACGTGTATAGCCCCTTCATTAACACAGTGATTTTGCACAGTGTTTTTACAGGTGCTGGTAACGTGACGTCTGCGCTGTACAAAAGTGTTTATGTGAATCCTGCAGTTCTGACACCTTCCTCGTCCCTGCTCTGGTCCCATCGTCCCTCGGAGCTAAAGTGTGGAGCGAATGACTCATGCTGTAGCCCTATTCATTGTGCTTCTTCTCATCCAGCAGAAAATTTTGCTTCCCATATTCGCAGTATGGACATGAGGTCATCCATTTCCTGAGTTGATTTGACATCCTAAATGTTTCGTTTTCAGTTTGTTTGTCATAACAGTGCAGCAGGTGCAATTTTGTGTCTTGCTCAAGGACATTTGAGTAGTTTCCTTTAAAACCTGTTTAAATTCAATGAGGCATTATGCACTTCTATCATAAGGGAGACATGCAGGTTACAGCACTACGCTACATTACAATTCAGATTGGTGGAGAGCCTCGCCTCTTCACAGAAGGAATTATTGTATTTTTGAGCTTTAGAAACTCCCGTAATGAATAAATCCTAGTTGGGTATGTTTAAAGCCATATCATCAGACATGTCAGATTCAGGCCCGGGTGTCAAATTTGGCCCGCAAGATCATATCAAATATGTATTAGAGCTGGCCCGCCGGCTACAGATAGGCTATAGAGACATTATTTAAAATGTTGTTATTATTTTATATTATGCTTGTTCTGGATTCAATATTTTAGCAAAGCTATTATTAAACATTTATTTTAATAAGAAAAGGCTTAACATTACATATCTCGAAAGAAGAGAAAACATGCAGATGTTGTTGAAATTTTTCAATAAATATTTAGTTTGTCCCAGTACTTAGTCCCAGTTCTAAATTTTGGCCATCTGTGAATTTGAGTTTGCATACCATGGAATAACATCTCCAGGGAGATAAGTGGGTAGCGGACACTCCACCAGAAAAGTTGTGTAGTGCACCTTTACTGACAGTATAACATTACACTCTACACACATTTACAGCTGATGTCACCAGACCAAATTACAGGTCAAGTTGGTAGAAAGGCAACCTCAAAGTCTTAAAAGCATACACCTGTAGCTGAATAAATGCAAACTAGATACGTATATGTCATGCTGTGGAACATTCCAGGCAAACCAATGTATCAATGGAGACAAGCAGGTGACAGACTCTCCACCAGAAAAGCTACCTAGTGCACCTCTTGAAGTAAATGTTCCACTTGCTGTTATCTTTTAATCAGAGTAAAGTGAGTCATAGCGTTGTTTCTTTTTATGATGCAAAGAAAAACAGGTAATAACTTTATATTGTACCATCTGTCATTCCTCTGTATATTGCCTCAAAGACTGTTCTCAGAATCCTGAGCACAAGCGAAAAGTGGGTTAAAGCAGAGTGCTGTGGGACCTGAGGCGTCCTGTTTTTGGGAGCAGTGAGTGTGCACCTCTCAGGCTGGCACCAACATAGACCCAGGATATTTTCCCAATGACCGCACCGACATATGCCCAGAAATAAATGACTTACTTTATTTCACCAGACAGATCCCCTCTGCTGTGAACACTCTGCTGGACATGTGGTCAGTTTGAACTATGGTGTGGGTTTGCCTATTGAGGTATAGAAAATCAATGTGATGGCTTTTAATATAATGTATAAATGTGTGTAATCCCTCAGTTGTTCAGGTAGAATCCATAGCAAAAGAAAAAATTCAATTCTGTCAACTGGACTAAAGACATTTCAAAGCTCAGTCAAACAGTTTCATCAGTTCTGGCAGTGTCCAGGATTTTATATTGCATGTTTTTATATTATTTTAATTTCACTGGAAAGCACTTTGGTCACCTGTTGTAAAAGACTCTATAAATAAAGATTGAATGATAATACACAGTTAAATTTATCACATATTGATTAGATATGAAAGTATGATTTTATGTAGTCTGAATCATACTTTTACTTTAAATCATTGACTGTATACATGGTTGATTGTTAATTTCCTCACACTTTTTAAGTCAGTGTAAATTAGCTTGTACAATAACTGTTTAGTTGTACTGGAACTCATGGCAGTGATTCTCTTTCTGAAGAAAACGTTTGACATATTTTAATACTTTTTACTTCTCCTCAGAGATAGAACTCTTAAATCAGGAGTTAACTAGTTGTGGGTTTCCAGTATGTCTGGGCCCACTGCATCCTCCTACATAGTTATGTGCTCACGCAGGAGATGATGGTTTGATAAATATGAAGTGGAGAAAGTCTGTCAGTGGAATTTTGTGTTAAGCTCCTTTATCCCAGTGCGGGACAGACTGGCGTTTTGCACCAAACTAAAGTGGAACATCACACAGAGAACACCTCAGCCTCTTGTTGAAATAAAATGGTTTCCTGTCCGCTCTAAGCTTTCTCTGACCCATTTATTCTACTCTATAACAGCAAAATCTGATCAAGTCTGCTCATCAATCTTTTAAAATCCTAAAATATTAAATATTGCCATGGCAAAGTTTTGGTGAGTTTGGTGAAGACATTTGGTGAGGAAAGTGTTTTTTTTTTAGCGCAAACTTGTCTAAAATGTTACACCATTTTTGCTTATGAGCTCTTTTGAAAACCTGTCTTTGCACAGTCATCTAATCTGTCATTTGAGCTAAGTCTGCTCTTGTCGCCTTGTCAAACACTTAAACACAAAACTTAGTACTTTTAAATCATTTGCTGCCTGATAAATCTTCACTTCAGCAGAAAAAGTCAATTTACTATGCCACACGTTGACATCTTTTGGCAGGATGCTCTGAACCACCTTGGATGGTGCCGCAGGCTTGAGTGCCAGACCCATATAGTCTTCTGAGCGCCACATGGACCCGTCCCAAAGCCTCAACCCAAATATCTCTGCCACAGAACTGCACCAGAGGGGTTGACTTCCATTTTCCCTAATAGCGCATTTCTTTCCTGGCTGCAATATCACTTATTTAACCCATTCAGGTACTGTGAATTTTTAGGTAAAATGACTCTACAGTAACTTTCAAATAGTGCACATTACTGACTACAAAATGATGGGCCTAAAGAAAAGTGTACTTACTGTGATAGTCCTAAACACAAATACTGATTTTTTTTATTTCTGCTTTTGTCATGGTTACGTACAAACTGACTTGGGCAGATGTTAGTTTACCATAACTTTTAACAGAGTAGCCCAGTAGACACAGAAAAACATTAAAATTTTCATTTTAATGTTACTTTGCTAGTATTAAAGAACAATGCTGCTATACAGACTCAACCACAGTGATAACTCTTGATCGTGTACATTTTCAGTACACTGTTGTACATATAGTAATTCATTAAAAACATCTTATTTTGTATAAAATCTATTTCTAACAACAAAATACAAAACTCGACATTTTGTGCAATGCAAAACTCAATGACAAAACAAAACAAAAAGTAATACAGGAATATGGCTATAGTGATGTAGAGAGCTGGATTCATGCTATGCATTTGGGGAATTTCATCTGGATTTCCTTCAAGACTGTTCATAGTCCACAGAGTAAATCACATATAATGGTGCATGACACAGAAGCATCTGCATGAAGAAACACATGACCTAAAGCCTGAAGAACTCACAATAAACAAGTATGAAGTGTCAAACCTGAACACAAGGAACGGCCCTGGATAATAGTGGATAAAAAAAACAAAACAAAAACAGGCAAAAAGACAAATTGTATGAAATCCCTCATTTGTTCAGGAGTGGTGCATGGTAGAAAGGGTTTCAAAGGTAGTGATCTTTGACTACCATCCAAAGATCATTTTCAATAGCAGATTGTTACTGCTGAACCCTTTTATACTTATCAAGTCTTTCAAGTCCATTTTTGAGAGATCTGTCTGCCTACATGGACTTTATATTGCTTGTGCCTAATAGCAGACACATGATAACAAAATGAATGCACAATATTTACAAAATTATTTGGCACAGCTCTTTCTGAAATTGATTAAAATTTGCATATAACAATATAACTGTGTCTCTAGTATGATAGAAAGCTTTGTTAACATGTGTGATTACGTTTCTAAGACTGAGAAAGTCCAAGGCTACACATCTGTGGACTGTGCACAAATTATCAACACATCTTATGGCTTTTTATACATGTTTGTGGTTTATGATATTGCTTTATATTTGTCAGTGTAAACAAATAAATAAATATTTACAAACGGTATCAAAACTGCAAACAAACAAGACAAACAGGCAGAACAATAATAATTTACAAAAGAAATTATAATACAAACCTAGTATAAACATCTTTGACTTTGGCTGAAATGACTTCAATTCACTCATTCAATTTCATACAACCACATTCAGAAAAGTTGAAAAGTCGAACATAAAAATCCTTGTAATGTAGAAAAACTTAAGTGGTTGCACAGTGAATACTTGTGAGGACATGATAAGAAAAAGTATATGCGATGGTATGGAAACATTGTTCATTCGCTGTAGATCTTTGAAATATAAAACTCACCATACAAACTCATGTTAAGGCAAAACATTCAAGTCTCTTTAAGCTGATAAAGACCACTGACTTTAACTTCACGCATATCGAAATTCAGTCTGTCCCTTCTTCATCTTCTGTCCGTGTTGATTCAGTTATCTGTGGAAAGATTGAGGGAATAATAGCCTCCATTACTGTCAAACTCAAATTAGGACATGAAGTACAAAGAAAGATCAAATGCCAAAAACGTGTGCAAGAACAACATGTGCGCTCTGTGTGTCAAAAGCATAGCTGCGATGAGTTTTCCACTGCTTAGTGCTGTGCAGGAGATCTTAGACCACCTTTCACAATGCAATGTTAAAAAAGGGTGAGCTGACAAGCAAAAACATAGCGTGACTTCTTTGTCGTGCTTCAGCCAAAAACACAACGCATTAGCAGCTCTGTCATTATTACCTTGTGAACCCTGTTGGAAACTCCGGCTTATCTGAGTAAAAAGACCAGCACAGTTCAAAGAGTTTGCCCACACAATAGACAAATGGGGGGATGGGGCTTAAACCAGCTAAAAACACTTTTATGTTGTTCACTACATGTATATCTAGAGCCTTTTAGAGCCTGATTTTATAGATTGGTTTTAACCTGAACACCCTTCCAGATTTCTCCAGAATATTCCATGCATTTCATACATAATCATAGAATTAATGACAAAGTATACAATGAGACTGTAATTAACTTAATTAAAATGTGCACTATGTGATTTTTCTGGTGTAGGGTCCAGCACCAGAAACACTCTCTCTGGGTTCACTCTACAATCCTTTTGCAATATCCTGTTCATTCCTCAGTGTTCTAAAATATTTATAAAGATGCAAATATGTTGTGAGGGTACCATATTTTTATCTCTTAAGTTAATATGTAAGCCTATTTTATTTGCAAGAGGGGTTTAGTTGATAAAGACTTGTTGTACTTATTGTATCAATTTTTCTGTTGCTGGTATAAAAACATTTTGCACTTTATTTTTGAACACTGTATTCTTCTGCTGGTCAGCTGCATGTCTTTAATGAAAAGAATTTCCCCTTGGGGATGAATAAAAGTAATTCTGATTCGGACCTGATGGTTTTCCTAGAATGTTTTTCATGGCATATTTGAGCAATAAAAAACATACAGCATATTAACAGCTAACAATAACATTCTCCTTTGACCAGCAGATGACAAACCCCCCAAGCAGAAAAAAGTTACACAGCGCACCTTTAACTCCAATATTTATTTTCAAATTGCATAATAACAGACTCAATGCACTCACCTCTGCACTCATACTTGAGGTCGGAGAAAAAGACCAATTCTTGAGAGAAGACGAACAGTCCTAACCTTCCTCCCGCAAAAGTCTTGTCATACACTGGTCCTGAGTCAGCCATAATCTGTTTTCCTTCATAAACTACAACCCTGTGAACAACACATACTTAACTTTATTACACTGTTTATTGACGCATATTTTAGAGCTAAATTAACCACAGAAATGAACAAGAATTGATTGCGTAAAAATTTCAACCTGATGAACCCAGTCTTTGGTCTGTGGACGAGATGCCACCTGTAAGCCGTGTAATCCTTCCAGCCAATGTTTTTGGGGTCGTGCCACAAAGTCCGCACCTGCAGGAAGCCATAAGCATTGTTTCAAAATGAGTAAGATATCTTTTTGGTATGATTTTCAGATATTTGAAAGTAATTTAGGTGTGCTTTACTCAAAAACAGTCATATAAAACATTTGCCCGCCTAGTCCAGAATGAATTCTTTCAGAATCTTTTATAACAGTCTGGTCACGAGCCTCAAGCCAGATACAGACAATACTGATGCAATTAGATTTGCTTATTTCAGTGACACTTCTCATTATTTCAGCTGAAATTCACATTATTAGTTTTTCAGTCACTCGAAAGCAGTGATATTTGTTTTGATACAGAGACCTGTCCCTGATCAATCACTTGATCAATTGCTTCCATCTGAACTTGGAGAAATAAAACTGCTGACCAGACTCACATCTTTGTAGTTTTGGAGAAGTGTGTTTTCTGGATCCCAGGCAAATACACATTTAACCATTAATCATTAACTGACAGCCTGAGTTTTCCAAAATCCTGGTGCATTTCTCACCTGCCCGGGAGTGTTTCCCGTGTGCCACAGAGCATTCCTGAGGTTTTCCCCTGTGCCTGTGGACGAGTTCACGACTTTGAGTGAAACTCCAGAGATGCCAAATGCCTTGGAGGGCTTGTCCTCCCAGTACGTCTGTGTGATCTGTTTCCACATCACTACATAAAAGCGCCCGCTGGACTGGTACCCAAACACAAACCCTGCGTAGTCATCATCTCTGTCTGTGTTAACATACATGGTGCCACTGAAGTCCACAGCATTGAACTCATCAAAACCTGCAAATACAAATTTACAAATGAGACATATTGTAAGACTACTTAATAAGTTAATGCTAACTCCTCTATTAAGTACTTACAAAGCCATTTACTATCATTTTTAACAAATTATTTGTTCATTATGAATTAAATCTGCAATCATTAGAAAGTAGCACCCAACGTAGCACTAAACCAAGACCGTTAGAAGGACTAATCCATTACTGAATTATGCTATTTCCAACACAGGACCAGGGTGATTACATGACGTAACTAAACCATAGACCTCGACAAATCCTAAAATCCTAAAACTGCATTCACACAAACCATCTAAGAATCTGGAATTAAACTTTGATTAGTTCAAGTCCAAACCAGGACTAAATAAAACAGAACTCCATCCGGACTACAATGAGCTCAAACCCAGATCAAACAAGGACAAAATAAATATGTCACAAACAACGTCTAAAACATAATGAAACTTGGAAGCAGCCATGTACAAACAGCTCTAAATAGGAACTTAAAATGACTTGTCTGTATCAGCATGAGTTGGCCCTTTAAATAGAATAATTACATTTGTAAAAGACTCCTCTGTCCCACCAGACCAATCATTCCTACCACTAATAGTTTTTCGTTACCACAGTTAAAGTAGTCCTCTCATGACCTGTTTTCTTTCTCTTACCAACTGCGATGCCTGGGTCTGAATTGGCCGTTTGAACCAGCTCTTTGCCCTGGTGTCGTACCACCCAGTTGGGGTCGATTTGAGTGGTGCCTTTAGGGTCCAGGTGAACCATCTGGAACTTTCTGAAGTCTGTATTACCGATGCCGCTGTTTTCAGGGCACACATCGAGGTAATCAGGGATACTGTCATTGTCAAAGTCATCTTTACAGGCATCTCCTCTCCCATCCCCTGAAACATGAGAGAAATTGAATTTTTTTGTATATTTATAATTATTAATAAATATTACACCAGCAAAAACAAGCCAGCACAGCAGAGGTGTACTGTATAAAGGATGGAAAACAGCAATAGACAAACATCTTTTTAAAGGGCCCATATTACGGTATTTTCTGATATATTTTATAATGTTGTTTCCTCAGCAAAACATACCTGGAGTTCTGTTTTGTTCTCGCATGTTTAACACACAAATTCTGCATATTTGGGCTGTGCTCGTCTCTCAAATAGCAATATAGAAGTGTGCCCTGGAATTGCCCATCTCTTCTGAACAAAAGGTAAAAGGTAGCTTGAAAACGACCTCGTCATGACATCACAAGATGGAACAGAGCATTTTGGTCTCTGGAGATGTTGACAAACTAATAATAAAAGGTTATTCAAACATGTGAATGAAACAAAACACAACTCCAGGTGTGATTTTGAGGAAGTAACAACATTCTAACATGGCTTAAAACTCACAAGAGTCAATTCTGTGTAATATGGGGCTTTTTATAATAAATTAACAATTTGTTATACCAAAAACAATATTATGCTTACTTATCCTATTTGTGTTACCTCATTAAACTCACTAACTTGCACAATGTAACTTTCTGGTAGAGGATGCATCACCTGCATCTCTTCATGTAGTTACTATTGCTTTGCCATGAATGTTCCACAGTATAGCATTTAAGTTATCTATATCCAGGGAGACATGTGACGCTACCAGGCCAAGGTACATGTCAGATCTGTGAAGATGCAATTCCGCTCATCGTAAGAACACTTCTTTTTCAAGGTATTTAAGAATATTAAAAACACATGCATTTTTGATAGATAAGATAAATGCTGTACTGTGGAACTTTCCAGGCAAACATATCCATGGAAAAAGAATGTAGCAGATCCTCCACCACAAAATTCAAAAAGTGCACCTTTAATAACATTTTAACACCAGATGTCCTTAAGGTTTGACTGGTTTAGGCAAAGTGGGTGAAATATCTTTCCAAAAGAGACAAGAACAATATGTGCTTTGAATATGGTGTAATTCAACATTTTTCATATATTTCAATTGACTGGAAATGTCAGTGGTACTCCCAGTGCACTTAAGGAGCGCTTTCAAGTTTATGTCCCAAATGAGTGGAAAAAATAGCAATCCATCCCTGCAACGGACTTCACTGCGTTTTTTTCCAGTCAGCCCTTCTCTTAATGCAGTAGCAGCCTTTACTAGTATTTGGGTCTGGATGACGTTTATTAAAGGCATAATAATATCTGTGATACTTGTGATATCATTGACTTTTAGCATCTGTGGTACAACTGCACAGCTGAGTAAAGTGACAGCAAATAAACACTCTCGTCGTAAAAGTGAGAATTACTGCAGACACTAATTTCAAACTTGCTTCCAATTACAAACAGTTGAACAAACTCTAGGTAATTCTGAGCATAATTTGAGCACATTAAATCCAGAGAAAGGCTTAAAAGAATCATTATAGTCTTCGTAGGTCATGCATAATGTCATCATGCATTACTACTTCCTTTCTAACTGCCTCTATTCCCACTGTGGCCTGCACCTGCCACAGCCCAGCAGCAGGACTGAATAACAAACATCGGTTGCTGTTTACATGCACACCAAAAATCATATTATGATCTGATTTCACGCAAAGATGAGATGAGAAAGATAAAGCATCCATTGTACTTTGTCTTCCATATGCAATAGTTTCTTTAAAAGTCCTTTTATTAACTGAACTAACCAAATGTAACCAGGTATTTTGGATTTCTTTTGCGCAACACCCATACCAAAAATCTGATCTGATTATTGGGATATTTAATTTGTACCCAGTGTTAGCACATAAAACTTTGTCCATCAAAAATGCACCAAAAATAATTTTGTCTGCAGCTGAAACCTGAAAAACTGTAATTGTTATATTATGCAATTACAATGGTATTATAGTCAGAAATGGTCAGAAATACTAAGGTTAGTATTATAGTAAGGTGCCAGTCTGTATGTGACTACCTCAGTTATTAAAAAATTCCTTTCATACTATACATAGGATACATGAACATCAGCCAGCGTGCCAGTTCCTCACCATCAGAGTCAAGCTGGTCTGGGTTAGGGGTGAGTCTGCAGTTGTCCCTGTCATCAGGGATACCATCATCATCGTCATCATAGTCACAAGCATCCCCTTTTCCGTCCTTATCATGGTCAGCCTGGTTTGCGTTGGGCACATAAGGGCAGTTATCCAGGTTATTCTGGTGTCCATCCTCATCTATGTCCTGGTTATTGTCACATTGATCTCCAACCCGATCATTGTCGACATCGGTCTGTTGAAACAAACATATTAATCATTATGTTTATTTTTAAACTTTAGGTGGTGCGTCTGATTTGGTACCTGGTCTGGATTGTGAAGCATTGGACAGTTGTCACATTGATCACCGACTCCATCCAAGTCCGTATCCTTTTGGTCAGTGTTGTAAACATAGGGGCAGTTGTCGTTTTCATTCAGGATTTCTATTTAAAAATGTAGCAGTGGGTCGAATTGTCAACAAACAAGTATAATTAAAGTATCTTTATTTTCAATATGATCATTAACAAGACAAACTTTTATAATTTCCATTTCCATTTTTCAATTAACAAGACCAAAAGCTGACCATTGGCAAATTGAAAAGACTGGATCTTTTGATTTGACATAATTAAAATGTATTATAACAATAAATGTGAATGTTCCTTCTGCATAATTGATAATGCTGTTATACTTTGACCACCATCTTACCATCTCCATCTATGTCCACTGCGCAGGCGTCTCCCTCTCCATTGTTGTCTGTGTCTATCTGATCAGGGTTGTGCTCATAGGGGCAGTTATCACATCTGTCACCAACGTCATCTTTATCAAAGTCAAACTGACGAGGGTTGAAATGAAGAGGGCAGTTGTCCTGTTACCAAACACAAGAGACATTTATGTAATTAACAGCCAGCTGCAGAAAATACATGTTGTAAATGTCATGGTAAGTGATAAGACTTACCCTCTCATCCAAAATGCCATCATTATCATCATCTTTGTCACAAGCGTCTCCCTGACCGTCTTTGTCAAAGTCTTCTTGTCCTGAGTTGGGCAGGCTGGGGCAGTTGTCCTACAGAAGCAGAATTAAAAAGATTTATTGCCATTGTTGATGAACAAAATATACAAACTGCAAATGTGCTTTGGTGATGTGGTGCAACACAAAAATAAAATGGTAATTTATAATAAAAAAGGCATTAGAAATAAGGCATTAGAAATAAATGACAATTTAAATAGTGCTATTACATTACATTTCATGCATTTGGTCAACTTGTAAAAAAAGACACATGCAGTGTATTAAGCACATGCAGTATCTATGATGTATAAAAGTAACTATACTGCCAGTTACTGAAAAACATAGTTTTCATTAATGTTCATGTAGTTAAAATATGAGTGCCATCGGACAGACAAAACAATAAATAAACCACAGATTCTGGTAATTCCAAAGAATACATACAAAACAACAACAAAACCCACAAATCTTCAAAGCAACAATTTTCAAACTTACTTCATTCTTACTTACTTCATATTGTCAACAGAAAACGTTAAAGGGTTACTTCAAACAAAATATCAATAAATTGTAACATGGCTTAAAGCATAATATAGGACCTCGAACAGACACCTGTTCAGACAGGTACGTACCTTTTTGCAATGGTATGTGGCATTGGCAGCACACACCAGGTTTTGATTAGGCCATCCATCCAAATCGGAGTCCTCTCCGCAGATGAAGCCGTCTCCAGCGTAGCCAGTTCTGCATTCACACTTGTACATGGGGTCGCTGAAGTGACTGATGTAAATGCAGTCAGCTGATCGGTGACAGTTGTGCGTTTTATCTTTGCATGGATTCTCTGGCTCACACACCTACAAATAACAGGACACAATTAAAGGCGCACTGCGGAACATTTCTAGTGTGAGGTTTGCTCCATGGAAATGTTCTTGCTTTGTCTAAAATGTTCCACAGTATAGATTAAACATGTTTATCACGAGGAAGACAAGCAAGTTACACTGCACTACATTACAATTCAGATCTGTGGAGAGTCATCCCTATTCACAGAAGGAATTACATTCCAGTCATACAGTCCAGCAATAACATCTCCATGGAGACAAGCAGTTAGTGGATCCTCTAAAGAAAAGTTGTGCAGTGTGCTTTAAGATAAACTGTCATAGTTTAACTACACAAACTGGATAAAGTCTAGTTCTGGTTCACAAGAGATGGTCTTGGCACTGATAGATTTTTATTTTATGAAATCCCACATAATAGATCAGAGTCCCATTATGACCCACGGGTGCCCTTTTTAGTGAAGCAATGGTATTCACAGCTGCCCCTTGTTACTATACAATGAACTGAACTCTGCATGAGCTCAGAGAAAAGTGACAGAAAAAACTGTGCTTTGATGAGGCCTTTAACACAAGCAGGGGGACACTAATGTAGTCCTGAATCAATTATTATAACAGGGCCATGAAAGCAAAGAAAAGTAGTCATGCAGGCGGAATGGGATGGTCCACATATGTTATTATGTTACGTTATGACAGGAACATTTCTCTGAAACTTTACTTTTTACTTTTCCTTGATCAGTCAGTCTCTCCTACATCCAGTTTGAATACAGGTTTGCCTTGGGGCAGTCCAATCACAGCTGCGAATTTGTACATTACACAAGGCACCCCTGTATTACACAAGGCACCTCCTCTCAAATATTCTTGTTTCATTCAATGACAAGACAAAATCTATAACTTATTTTGACTCAGATAATAAATTCTACATAAATCCCCACTGTTTCTCAGTTTTCAGGTTTTGCATGTTTGTTTCACATGAACTGACCATGTGTTTCTCTGATTGGTTAAACTGCCTGTCAGTCTCATCCATCAGATACAAGAGACACAGTGCAGTTCCAATCCAGACCCACACGTCTTTGTTAAGTATTGTAAAAGCTTGTGATTTTCGCTGGCCAGACACAAATTATTTCACTTACAAACATTTAGCAGCCAAAAATCATTATCACTGTTGGAAATGCTTTGTAAATCATATGGAACAGTTTATTCCAAATACTAACATTACACAGAATGTACTGAATTTTGTAGCTGAAATGATATCAAAGAGCTGTGTTGTAACAGATTTATGATTTGTAAAAACAGTCCCAAAACCTTTGATATGAGTCTTTGACAGAAGCGATGAAGTGCACAGGCTCAAGATCTATCTTGTCTCTGATCTTTTAATAAAACACCAGTGTGCAACATGTGTTCATTGTGAATCTCCTTGGTGATACTGGGCCAAGGTACGGGTATAGTATAAACATATGGTGACCTACTGCTTCCTGTCTGGCTGTGGCTATTTCCAAGAGTAAGGTCTACGAATCATTATCAATCCTGTTGCAATCATTTATGATTATTGTTGAAAATGTGCACCATTTTCTATGAATTACATCTTAATTAGCCTTAATAAAGCATGAACAAAGACTTAAAGATGAGCAAATAGCTAATATTAAAACGATACAGGCTTAGTAACTATTAAGTGTAATTACTATTAATGTAGTACACCTTTTCCAACAAAGGGTATGTTGATCTTGAACATACCTGTTTGTTTGTCTTGGCATACTCCACACCCTTCCCAAAGGGCTGTGTGCCTTTGTAGCGTGTTGGACAAGGCAGACAGTGGAATCCTGGGTCAGTGTTAACACAGCGCTGAGACCCACCCAGTTTATAACAAATATCTGACACCATGGCACACTGTAAAACATGGACAAAAACACAAACCAGACCATTTAAATTGATACTCATAATTAAGTATCAATTTCAGCAATCTCAAATGAAATCATAGTCATAAACAAGAACATAATAATAATAATGAACATATTAAAGTATTAACCTCATCTATGTCTTCACAGCGGGTGCCATTTCCACGATAACCATCTGGACATATGCCGCAAGTCCAGGATCCATCAGGAGAGCTGCTACATTCCACTCCAGCAAAGCATGGGTTAGACAGACAACCATCTGAACCAAAAAAAATATTGATTCATACATTTCTGTAATCAAAATCCACTTTACAATGAGGTCTTTAAGAGAGAACATTGCACTCACCAATAGGACAGTCTTTATTGTTGCAGCTGTCACTGTCATGGTTTTGTCCAAAACACTTGTTGCCTCCAAACTGAGGCGCAGGGCTGTTGCATTCACGGGTTCGGCTTTTGATCCCGCCTCCGCATGTTGCTGAACATGTTGCCCACGGCGACCAGGGACCCCAGCCACCATCAACTACAAAGTAGTGGTCAGTTAAACTATACGCACACAATTTTCACAATGTTTTATCTTTTTCTTACATTGTTACTTTGAGTCACATTTTAAGCTTGCACCTAGATTTCCTTGGAGACCAATAAAGTATTTAGCCATTTTTATTTGTCTAACCTAATTGAGTAGCAAAAGCAAATATTATCTCTTTGCAGTGAGAGTGAAATGGTCTGGGTCAACAATTCCTAAAACTCAGAAAGATCATCCCAAAAAACACATGGGAATATTGCCTGAGGACGTCTAGGTTTTCAGTTGAATGATAGGGATTTCCGGTCTTTCATTGTGGGCTCGAATACTTACTTGGACATGGTTTAGCAGTACAGCGTTGAGTCTCTCGCCCGCTGCCTTCACAGTCCTTACCCCCTAGTTGTGGCACGGGGGCATTGCAGTGGCGAATCCTAGTAATTTGTCCCTCTCCGCAAGTTACAGAGCAAGATGACCAAGGCGACCACAAGCTCCATCCTCCATCCTGTCGTACTGAAGAAGACGATACAATATTTCAAATGCAGAAATCTATATTGGATTATAGTCAACAATATAAGACAAGGGAAATCCCCACAAAATGGCACAAATCAGTTCTTCTAAACATTGTGTAATTCCTGACTCAGTTTCAAGGATTTTCTATAGATTCTGTCCATAATGTCATAGCATTGTGGTTAGTGAGTGGTTAGGTTTCAAACAATACAATTGGCCACAACAAACAAACTCTAGGGAAACTGAAGTATCAGATGTCTAACAATAGCATGGTATCCAGCAAAACCTGAACAATTTAAACATCAGTAATTTGTTATGGCATTGCTTGCTCACCCCATAACCTCCTTCTTTTATATGGCCTTTATTATTGTAACCTAGATTTCTGTTTTACATTTACTTGGATCCAAACTCATGTTAAATGCATTCATGCTTCAGCTATGCAAAACTGACATCTCCAATTTACATCAGCTGTATTCCCCCAGTGTCACCATGTTTGTCTCCAGTTGTTGTTACTACGACGAAGTTAATGTAATACAGCAGCATTTAGCTCACAAGCTGTCAATTGTCTTACCACGACTGTCACATTTGCCCAGACTGCATTTTCGTGTCTGGATTGAGGCTCCGGGACATGGGTTACTGGTGGCGTCACATGACCTGCCTCTCTGCTGAGTCCCTGTGCCACAAGTCACGGTGCACTCAGGTCCACTCTGACCACAGCGACCAGCCATCCTCGCCATCTGAAGCTGTGGGCGCACAGATATACAGATATATTAGAATAATGTCTTAGTATTTCAAAGTCTATTTAGTAATAAACTAAATGTGGTATGGAGAGCAAATAAGTAATTATTAAAGACAGGGCAAGATCAGTGTAAACTGTGTAACTGCAGAAGACTGTTAATCAGTAAAAGACACAAAAATAAGCATTACAAAAATAATGACAGGGCACACATCAAGTTGAAAGTAATTGTGTAATTGATTAAACATGCTTGTATGCAGGGGAGGTGATGAGGGGAACAAAGGGATCTGTTGTCCCGGGGTCCAGAGACTTAGGGGGCCTAAAATTAGACATTCTTCTTATTAATTTATGACTTGCATTGTTTCGTATTAGTACTTACAGACACACACGGGGCAGCACTCTCCATCCATAAATAAGGGACTTGCGCAGGCCACAGGAGGACAAGTGATTTGGTGACAAACAATTTTGGATTCCTGTGATTATTCAAAACAAATCTATAAATATAAATCCATCAATAACAAACAGTTTTCCATATGCATGATGCTACCTGGCAGGTACATTTGGTGCAACTGTCCACAACCCATTCCTCTTTATCATCAAACAGCCGTCCATCTTGCCAGCACATGTTTTTCTCCTTAGTGTTCCTCATCATCCCCAGAGCGTCCTTCATGACTGAGTTCTCCTCTGTCTGAAACATTTGGAGACCAGTCGCAAGTGATTAGCACAGTCTCAAGGTAAAGATGCACAGCCATGCAGTGGGCACCTGCTGAGACACACTGACCCAATTCTTCTAAAGTGGAGTTTATACAAATAGAAAAAAATACATTCATATATAGTAAAACTACCTTAAAGCAATAACAATAAAAGGTTAATTTGAAGTGCTTTTAGTGTTTCATTACAGTTATGATTCAGCCACAGTGTTTCAAACCCATTTTAACAGCCTAATTTAGTTTATGTGCAAATACCACAATAAAATTACCATTAAATACATTCCTTTAACCACTCCTTGTGGAAAATATGATCAAAGCTGAGTTTAATGAACTAGAAAGAAAATGGACCTTTATGTGATTTTAACCAGTACACACCAATTATTTGTTGGCCATTAAAGCACATTACATAGTATTACTTTGCAGTTAATCTTGTTTCTTTATTTGTAATGTTTTTACAAGCAAAGTGAAAAATGACACTGAAGCCTCCAACCCAGTTGGACAGTTAGGGATAGTTGGCTGAACTTTGAATACTGTCATTCGATAAGCTACTGCCAAAAGTCCGTGTGCGTGTGGTGAGTGCATGTGTGTGTGTGTGTATGTGTGTGTATGTGTGTGTATGTGTGTATGTGTGTGTCTGTTGAAAAAAGCCAAAAGCAGTGAGCAGCGCTGAGATCAGAGACACCACTCGGTCTGGAAGAGCCTCAGGGACCCTACTCCACCAAACCATTTTTCCCAAAGGTTCATGCCCAGATCCTTACTGCAGGGAGGATCCCAGAGGAAACACATGGCTGGTTAAACACAGCCAAACGCTAGAGTGGACTCGCTGCCAGGGGAACACTTCCTCTATCCACATGTAACATGTCATAAAGTCTGTCTGCCTCACAGTTACCAGAGTCAAATGGGTTCAACTTTTTATTTAGCTCATTCAGGGTTTGAATGGACTTTTTCTTATGAAACTGCACTGTCCACATCACCCCTGTTCCTCTTCTACTTTCTAACTGAACTGAGTGACAAACACACTCACCACTTTCTGCAGGCCGTCGATGAGGTTGCTGACCACCACTCGGAGCCCTTTGAGTTCCTGAAACATGGTGCTGAGCTCTTCACAGGAGCGTTCACACATCTCTGCTCCCAAGTCATCCGGCTTTTGACCAATAATGTTTGTGGTGATGGAAGGACTTACATCCACAATCTCGGTGCTCTCACTCACAATGTTAGCATCATCTGCAAAGAAATTACATTAGACATCAAAGGAAAATGAGGATTAAAGACTGATGGAAAACATTTTTGAAATATGATTGAAAAGTGGAGATATGGATCTGTAATTTCCTGTTTTTTTTTTTACTAAACTCTAAGCGGTGATCAGAATGTTTATATTTTGCCCTAAAACAGATGTCTATTCAGCAGTGTTTGTTTTGAAGAATTTATCTTTTTGCTGTTGAATGGCATAGCTGAAGTCAAAATAAACATCTGTGAGTATGTTTTAGTGATGAGAACAACATGCTGTCGCTGTAAATCTTTTGTGACCTTTAAATTCAGACTGAACTTTTTCCAAAACAAATTTGATGGACTGAGATGACCTTCCAAAGTCAAGGAAAACTGTAACTTAACACAACAGCCATATGTATTGAAGACACTCAACACCCCTATATATGGACACATACATTTAGGGCTAGAAATATTTTAAATGAAAGTACAAGTACAAGAATTTAATGTGATTGACATCTGTGACATTGTTGAAACATGAACAGGAACGTAACCCAGTCACAGTGCAGCAAGGGCATCTTTTTATTCACTCAATTTAAAACTAGACATCCTACAATGTCTTCATGAAACCACTGATTTGGCAAGATACATGATCCCCAAAGCAAACGCATGGAGGAATTTCTGTCACTCATCCAAATCACTGCACATTTTTGCAACCGCTTTGCCTTTTGCTGTGTAAATTGGTGAAGATTAACAGCAGGCTGGGGACTCTAAATCAAATAGTTGTCTAAATTGTCCAGAGGCGACCCACTGATACCTTCTGCTTTTTTTTCTTTCCCTTTCAATCTGCTGGATTCATTCAAATCCCAGAGGAGCGTCATGTTAGGAGTGCATGTGCGCGTGTTTTCACTTGTCTGCGAAAGCATTTACACATCCTTTACTCCGGATAGACACTTAAAGATAAAGCAAAGACTTGAGAAAAAGAGCAACAGCTTGAGTAGGTTTAATACTGCTCATTAATGTCCAACATGACAGCTTTTATGACTGTGGCTTTGGTGGGTTTATGACTGACTCTTGGCATACAATGTGCTACCACTGCAAAACCTCAAAGCCAACAAGGAGAGGGCTCTCAGGTCTGCAAGACTTTTGTCAAAAACATAAAACTCATTCAACTATTTTCTGTGGTCATAAATTGTTACAGTAGTGCACATATATGGTAACACGTCTGTTGATTCAAATCTGTGAGTCTTTGGAGTTTTCCTCTCCTTTTCACTCCCTTATGTGAACCCCGTAGAGTAATTCTGGGTAGTATTTCTCCTCCTCAGCTGAGAAAAGCAGCCCTTTAAAGCCAATTCATGACCTCACTGTTGATGCGTGCTGCTGGACGTGGAAGCTCCCCGGTCTGCACTATAGCATTGACTTACTATTTTCTATTTTCATTCCCAGGGCATTATACTGTGTCCACTGCCAATTGAAATAAATGGACGCATCTGCAACTCCTTTGGTTCACCACGCACAAAGTTCATACTCGAGCCATGCCGTTCACACTGCAGTTTTCCATAAACATGAGGTAATAGTTTGTCGAGATCACACTGCATATCAAATACGTATGCCTTTTGACCCACTTTGGAGAGAAAACAGTGGAACAATTCAAGGAAAATAAAACATGAAGCTGATCAACGCATCTGATCGGATTAATACCTAACAGCTCACACATTGCCCTACTTTTGAGACTTACACGTGAGAAGGTTTTTGAAATATGAACTTCAAAGAGTCAAAGCTAAAATGTCCTGATGTGACATGTGGAAAATGGATGGAAAAAGCTAAATTAAACATCTGTACCGTGCTTTGTGACTTCACAGTCTCTGGTCAGGAGCACATCCTCCACTGGTGTGTCAAAGATGAAGTGCACATTTTGCAGAAGACCCTGTAAAAAGTATAAGTACTTACTAAGCATTGCAGTTACTACTCTTACTACTGTTACTATTAATACTATTACTACAACTAGAAGGTTTAATCCCAAGGGCCTCATTGCAAAGTGTACAGTACCATTTATTAGTACCCATTGGCTAAGAAGTATGTTTTCACCTCACCAACCAATTCATTCACACGTTGCTTGTCTTTTTCCACAAACAAATTTCATCTTAATGTGTGAAATATATATGCTTTTAGTTTTATCCAAGATATCCTAAATGCAACCTGATTTTTTTTTTAGATTTGTGACAAATCAAACATAAATCTTGACTTGGGACCTCTTTCGCTGGATTATTTTGACACAGTTCAAAGTAGATTTCACTTGCACTTGTTCTACCAACTCTCCCAACCCCTATTTAGTTAAATCTCCTCATGGAAACTAAAGTAAACTTAAGCCATTCCGGCGCCCTCAAAAGCCTTTCTACTTTAAACCAGGGCCTAGTAAAACCACATGTTGCTGTAACTTATTAGAGGGACAAACACTGGTGGTGCTCTTTAAAAAAAAAAAAAATTCTTTCAACAACACAAATTAACAGTGTCCTATAAACCACCTCAGTAGCTTACCCTGAAGTGGTTCTCCCGGATGGACCCTTTGGCCACATACATGCGGCTGCCCTCTGCCCGGAGATGCTCATAAAATGGCTCATCCAGGATAAAACTATCGATGAGGCTGCAACCCACAAACAAGTTGGCATTTTCCCCATGAACTTGAAGAGTTATATTCTTCCACTGTGAGTCTGACAAGTCCACATCCTCAAAGGACACAACATTTTGGGAGCCATCCACCCAGTACACCAAGTCCAGAGTGTTGGCGCGCCCGTTGGATACAATCTCAAACTGCCTCCTGCCATTGGCGCCCTCTAAGGCAATCAGAGTGCCCCGTGACCCGCGGTCCTGACGAATACTTGCCACAAATATGAAGCCTTCATTTATTTGGATTTGCTGCAGGATTTGTTTGAGTATAGGCGGGCTCACAGGGGGCAGGTGGTCAAAGCGGAGGAAGCGATAAGCTGGGGCATCTGAGTTTGGACCTTTGAACTGTTTGGCCCCCAGTGTCTTCCGTGAGATGTTGCTGATCTCAAATAAGTCGAATAGTGTCTCATCCTCCTGTTCACCATCTTCACAGCCGACAGAAGAAGGAAAGGAAAGTGTATTTAGACATCATGAAAATATCTTTTTTTTGTCTTAGTTCCATAAAGTCACCACAGAAAAGTATCTATTGTACAATGATTTTTTTCAACATTATAATTTTATGCGTCAGCTGGCCTATATTTGGGCTTCGGACTGGTAAAAAAAATAGAGTGGTTTGTCATTACTAAGTTGTTTCTATAAATACTATGGCTTCCATAGCACGAATGGTTATATTTTGGCCATTTTAAAGCAACACTGTGGAATATTTTGGAGATGGCACGTCACCTAAATGATTTCGTAACAGAAAGTTACACCACACTTTGGAACATTCTTCGTGTAGATAATACTATGAATATTTTAGCCAAATGAACTACATTTCCCAGCAATCAGTGCAATAAGACATAATAAAACTAAGCAAAACAAAACTTTCTGTCTAAAAGGTAGGCACAGTAGGCTTTTAAATAAAGTTAAATGAAACTAAAATTAAATAATGGATAGACTATTTGTTCGCTTACCTTCAGTTAATGCGTGGAGGAGATTTATTGATAAAAGCAGCAAGCAAAAACTCCTGGGTATCATATCTCCTACAACAAAAAAGAAAGTTGATATGGTGGCTGGGGCTAGCAATTTTAGTCACACGTGGACTACTTTTGTTATTGGTAATATCTATCTATCTATATATATATATATAAAAATATAAAACATTTTAGTATAGCAGTTAAGAAAAGGAATGTGCACTACTTATTTTCGACTTACCTGAAGACTTTAACTGTTCAGTGGTTAGATCCAGCAAAAATATCCAATAATGTGGAAAATAAATACTTTCATACGCACGTGTCTAAAACTTTTATGTTACGATGGAAAAAGTGACGTATCCTTAGTGCGGAAAGTAGGTCCACTTGGGTGCTCAGGCAAGAGCGTTTGAGGCACTACCGCGAGTGAAGTCCCTGCCTCCCTCCGCTTTTATAGCACAGAGGCAGCACCGCTCCTGTCACTCAAACTTCACTTGGGGCAGTTTGAGAAGAGACCGCGTTACATAATTACCTTCCTATGGTATAACGCGCGCCCCTCAGCTCGATTAAACCACATGGAGCAGGTACACAATATACAGTATATGAGATGATGGGCGGGTTCCTTCTCCAGTCTCCAAGCTCTGATGCCCGCTGTCTGTCAAGCCACCGCCTCACCGCTGTGTCTGGACTAGATTGCCTTTTACTGGAGCAGACAACGAGTGAATGTGGGTTTAACTATGGAGAGTTAGCCTCTAATGGTGATGTGGTGCACAGACCGCAAGTTAATGGTAATCTGTTTCTAGCTGAGAGGTGGGTAGAGTTACTAAGAAGATAATGCAATGATTTAAGGACTTTATTTGAAATGCTACTATGAAATGATGTTAGCCTATTATAAATAAAGTGAATCAAGTGCATGATTCAATGGAAACAGAAAGCTTCTTAGGAACATTCTCCATGAAGATAGATAGAGTTATGCTGAGTATTATAACCTACATTTCCAAACAACCATTGCAATAAAACACCCAAACGGAAAAAACAAACAAACAAACAAACAAACAAAAAAAGCTTTTATCTTAGTCTATTGTGGTTTACAGGACACACAGTGGGGCTTTATATAAAGACAATAAAATTTAACAGAATTATATAATGGATAGGCTTTATGTTCACATACTTTCAGGAGATTTACTGATAATGAATAAATAAATAAAGTTACTCAAGTGCAGAACATAGAAGAAAGAGAATCTACTTTTATATTTTTACATAATACATTTTTCCATCTTAATTTCATTCAGATATGATGATCTAATAACAACAGTAAGTCAAACGTCCTAATCCCAGCTATGTCTGCAATGTGGGGAAAAAAAGAACAAAAATAACAAGAAAACGACAAGTAGGACAATAGATACTTTGGATGCCTCCATTGCACTGGCAAGCACTGTCTTGTGTCTGGAGATCGTCAGGTTTTTGCCAGTGCTTTGTCTGCGTCAGAGAGAGAATAGCTGATACAACATCTCATTCTGGGAGCCCTGTGGAGCTGGATGTGGGAAGTTCATTGTATACAATCGGAAACATCTTGGTTTGTGACTAATGACAATGTGAATTCAATAGAGGGGAAATGGGTGAGAGCAGATGTTTTGAAGTAAACTGTGTATTTGTCTTTGAACAACATTGATTTAGTAACCAGGCAGCAATTAACCTACATGTTAAAGGACCCATATTGGACTGATGTTTAATGTTGTTTCCTCATCAAAAACATACCTGGAGTTCTGTTTAATTTCATTTACACATGTTTAACACACAAATCCCCAGACAGAAAACACACGGTTCCACCTTGTGATGTAAATTGATAATACAGGAAGTGGTTCACTGTGTTTTTAAACTCCATACACCTTCACTAGTATTATTTAGATGATTTCAGTCCTGGAATTCCCAATCTCAAGTGCTGTGTTTCCCCAACTTTTTTTCTGGGGACCCATATTTTAAAAGTCACAAACCTTCATGACCCACGTCAATAGACATTATTCGTAAATCACAAAATGAAGGTGGATTTGACTTTGATTATGGAACATTAATGGGGATATTTTATTGTTGACTGAGTGATCGTGTCTCTCTGAACAATTAGTATTAATCAAGTTTTAAACAATAAAAAAACTGTAACTGAACCAGCAATAAAAGGTATCCATAAGTCGTCTAGTTGGACATTAAATGTAGCCCATTTCTTTTTCTTTTCAACATCAAATTGAATGAGCAATATTGGAACAAAATATTCAATAAAATAATTACAAAAAGATTAGAAATTATACAAAACATGTCTTAACATTTCAACATTTCTAATGAGATAGGTGGGCCTGCCTGTTTTTTTGTTTCTGTCTGCATGTTTTACTGCAGACCTACATGCAGACTGTGACAAAGCGACCACCAAACAAATCTCTTGTGACCCACCTGAGGGTCACGACCCAGTCTTTGGGAAACAATGCTCTAGTGAACTAAAGGTTAAAGGTAGCTGTTAACTTGAAAACTACCACTTCACTGGCATCACAAGGCAGAACAGAGCATTTTGAGCTTTACAGATGTAGACAGACTACAGACTAAACTCAAACATTGCTCAACTGTGTGAATGAAGCACAATACTATTTCGGGTGTGTTGTTGATGCGATAACATTCTAACATGACTTAAAGCTCCCAAGAGTCAATTTTGTGTAATATAGGACCTTTAACAGTGGTAGAAAGAAACCAGAAAGAAAGAAGAAACAATACAAAGTTCAATTATTGTCAAACTTAGTGTCTTTAATGCAGTGGTTTTCTTATGTAACTTTTATGGTGGGGAGTTTGCCATGTGCTTGTTTTCAGGGAACTGTTATTGCATTGCCTGGAATGTTCCACAGTCTGACATTAAATTGATCTATCACGATTACATTTAATTTTATTGCTCAAAAATGCCTTACATGCAATATAAAATTATTGTCGGGGGGCTTGCCTTTCCAAAGATGCGGCCTGGCTATAACTTTGGCATCACCTGTTTGTCTCCTTGGAGATAAGTTCAAGAGGTAAGACAATAACATGGAGACAAGAATGTGGCAGAACACTCAACCCAAAAATAACAGTGCACCTTTAAATGCTGTACTGTACTGTTTCTTATATTCTTTATATAGAATATGTTTTTACATTTCGAATGCTTCTGCTTTGTTTTTTTCAGAAGTCAGTCATCACAGTGAACAAGATGAAGGGTGATTTGACTGAAATTGTACACCAGATGCCTTTCCTAACGTAACCAACACCATTACTGCATTCAGGCTCCTGTTCCACTGCTGTCACCCCTATGTAAGTATAATATTAAAATACTTTGTGCCAACATGGTCAAATACAATGCAGATGAAAGGTTATATTTTTATTTAACTGTGTGTATGCAGAGAACAACTGAAATTTCTAGTAGCTTAAACCTTTACAGTCATAGGAAGTTTTCACATCAAATTTTCTTCAGACTTATTTTTGGCTTACGACAAGAAGAAGAAGTCAGTGTTTAAAAATGCAAATATTTACCCCATCCAAAATATTTCATAAAATCTTTTTCAGATCATTTAGTTCAGACAGTCCTTGAAACAGTGCATGCAGACCCTAGTATTAAGATCGAAAAGTGATGGATGTCAGTTTGGTTTGATAAACAACTGAGTTTCCAACTGTGGGCTCCAAGCCGTGACTTCACCCTGAGGTTTATGTGTTTTTCAGTAAGAAATTGGTTCAGTGTGACTCTACGACCCAATCCAAAAAGGAAATCTGGCACTTGAGGAACAAATGACCCACAGCCATACGTTAACATGCAAATTTTACATTCACATTAGGGAGTAATAAAATAAAGATGCTTGGTAGAAAATGTGTTTAAAATTTGGAGATTTTATTCAAAAAGTCACTTTGTGGTTGGTAATCATGCCAGACTTTGAGTAATGCCAATGAAACTAATTTGGCTAGAAAGGCTGGCATAGTAAAATAACCTTGCATAATCTCCCAGATGGGATGACAAGTCTTATTGCCAGATAGTTGCACCAAGTGCTATACTTACTATATGAAGAGAGCTGTTCATTTCTATCATTTTATTTATTGAATTATTTGGTTTATTTAGCAGGGACAGTTTATATTAACATTTCTGTAAATGTACCAGAATTGGCTAGAGGGGCTATTTTTCATCTGCAGTCCCTGGACAGACAGTAACATGGCCACCCTATAAACACAACAATAAGAATTATACAGAAGAGTGCAACTGTACAAAAAGTTCATTTAAAAAGCAGTGAAAAACAGACATTAAGTCACGTCTAACACTTGGGTGTTCAATCATCATAGTATTTACGTTTTACAAATCCTAACTATTAGTGTAGCAACGATACATAAAAATCTATGTTTCTGGTTTAAGCAAAGCACTATTATTTTTAGACAGTGATTCAAAAGACTGACATGAAACAGTCAGGTGTTTTATTTGTATTTTTTCAAGATTCCTCAAGTAGTTATTTCCACTGTCAAAATGTTAGTCTTACACTGTCACCACACATCCCTACACTGCCACTGTCTCTGCCTCTCTCCCTTAAACACATGTGAGCTCTGATCCAGCTTATTTACGTTTGGCGAGCTACAATTGCACTCTCATTTATCTTAAACCACATTCATTCATTTGTCAAGCTCATTGTTTCTGCAGCAGGAACTTATAAGTCGACAGCCCTCTAATTTTAGTAGTAAGTGGAAAAGTGCTTTGAGATTAATAATTTTTTTGGTTAGAAGAATTGATAACCTTCTCAAAGCTGAATTGGTAGGACTAATAGACAGTGGGCGATAGTTATACTTTAGTAAACAGACAAGAGCTAAAGCTGGGGTACCTTTATATGTAGTTTTTCTCATAGAGCATATTTTAAAAGCAGCACGTTGTGACATGATAAGAATGCTGTTCACTGTCTTCATCTAATTATCACAAATGTTTAAGTTGCAAACCTGAAAGTTCATGGATAAGATGAGAATGCACTCAAAAATCTGTGCATGTAAATACTACAGAGGAGCCAAAAATAGTTCTTGATTCTTAAATTTAAAACACTGAAGATTGAGAACCAATGAGAACCACACTCATGCTTGTTAGTACAGTTTTCTAGCAAATATTTTCTTTATGAGGGCATAGATATATCACTTTCAAAGCAGAGAAGCTGTGGAACATTGGGTGCAATCATACACACCATTAATCACTAAACTGCATCCCAGCGGGTAGCAGTTCTTCTGTCCTGGAAAGAAAACCCCACCATGCACCAAAACACGAAATCCACCACTTCCCAGGCTGTGATT